CCATAAAGGAAACAAGTTCTTCAACTTTAATCTACCTTTTCTTTCTGACAGTAAAAACACACTCAACAAAACCTTCACCATCCAGCAGTTACCGTCTGCCGCTCAGTAACATTGACACCACTGAAGGTAATGCAGCTTTCATCACTAACTTATTCCATCTCATTCCTTCCAGCACTCCCTTCCTCTCTCCCTCCCATGTCTGCTAACCACTGATGAACTTTGGTTCCTACACACTTGTCTGTGATGTATAAGTGACATTGTGTGGGTTCTGACCTTTCGTGACTGACTTGTTTTAGTCATGATGTGTCCGTGGTTCACCCATGTGGTTGTGTGATCAGCGCTTCATTTCTCTATGGGTACAGTATATATCCATCCTGTGTTGTATGTCCCGGCATCCCATTCTGTTGGGCGAGTACTATCCCACTGTGTGTATGGGCCCCGTGTTGAGTGTCCAGGCATCTGCTGCTAGACCCTTCCGTCGTTTCTGCCTTTTGGCTGTTGTGCAGAGTGCTGCAGTGAACATTAGTGTACACATTCCTGTTTGCATTTCTTTCACTGCTTCTGGGTGCATAGCTCGAGTGGGGAATGTTCGGCCCAAGGGTAGTTCTGTGTTCAACTGTTTGAAGACCCACCAGACCCTTCAAAGGTGGTTGTGCCATTTTATGTTCCCACCTGCAATGGTGAGGCGCCCATTTCTCCCCAGCCTCACCAAAACTTGTTGTTTTCCATTTTCTTGGTCATTGCCATGCTAATGGGGGGAGGTCACAAAATCTCACTGTGGTTGTGATTTGCATCTCATGACTAATGATGTTGAGCATTTTTCATGTACGTATTGGCCATGTGAACATCCTCTTGGGTGAAATGCTTGTTCAATCTTCTGCCCATTTTCTGATTGAGTTGTTTGTTTTTTTATTGTTAAGTCGTAGACATTTCTTATGTGTTTTGGATATTAAAGTCTTACACAGTGTAGGACTCGCCAGAATTTTTTCCCAGTTGGTAGGATGTCTTCTTGCTTTGGTGATTTTAACTTACTTTTACAGAATTCTTTTCTATACATGTTGAAGCTGTATCCCATGGTGGAATATGTTTGAAAGGTATGGTTGGTCCAGGGTTTAATTTGCTTTTATCTTTTGTAGGTGCTGCAAGAGGATCATGTGTGTGATCTCAAGATGAGGGGGATCCTGTTGCTGAGCCCAGATGCAAGCTTCCACGACACAGATTCATGTCAGCACTGTGAAGCGTTTCATAGTCGAACTCCTGGGAGGCGCTGATCTGTGCCTCGTGATGGTGTCACCCATGAGCTGCCTGTGTCATGTTTCATTAAGATTTATGTTCACAAAAAATCTCAAAAGTTTGACTTCTTATGAAAATCTGAAGAGTATCTACATTTGGGGTACAAATGAGCATTTGGATCAACTTTGTACCAACCTCATGCATTAACGTAATGAAGCCACAAGGATAGCTATGGTCAGTCATGGAGAAGAGCCGGGAAACTTGTCCAAAAGTGGGCAGTGAGTTTGTTTCTGATAAAATAACTTTTAAGATAGGAGAAGATGATGATGATGGGGTCCCCAGTCACAGCTTGGACAGGATGGATGTGAGGCGTGAACCAGGGGACCCACAGCACACGGACAGTGGGGATGAGCGCCTGGAGGCCAGAGAGGCGGACTGTGCCTGTCCGCCCCCCGACAGTGAGGATGACTATGGTTCCCTGTTGTCCCAGTACAGCAGCACACTGTATGATGTTGCGATGGAGGCCGTGACGCAGAGCCTTCTCTCTGGCAGGAACCTGAGCTCCAGGAAGAAGTCCCCAGCTTGGAAACACTTCTCCATCTCTCCTCGAGACAGCACTAAAGCAATATGCATGTACTGTATGAAAGAGTTTAGTCGGGGCAAGAATGAGAAGGACTTGAGTACCAGTTGTCTCATGAGGCACGTGCGAAGGGCACACCCCACCGTGCTCCTTCAGGAGAATGGCAGTGTGTCTCATGTGGCCTCCTTCTCTTCTCCTTCACTGCTGCTTCCACCCCAGCCTGCAGATGGAGGGGACCTCAGCACCATCCTGTCACCCATCAAGCTTGTCAAGAAAGCTGCCTCCAAGATACCATCCCCAGACCGCATCACGGAGGAGTCTGTGTCTGTCGTTTCCTCGGAAGACGTTTCCTCGGATATGTCCATTTCTGAGAAATACAGCAGAGAAGAGGCCATGGTGGGCTCGTCCCCACATGTGCCCAGTCTCCACTATGATGAGGCTGTGGAGAGTGGCACAGAAAAGAACCTCACGGTTCCAAAGAGCACATCGGGCTCCAGGAGGCGGTCGGCAGTCTGGAAACACTTCTACCTGTCGCCTCTAGACAGCTCCAAGGCTGTTTGCATCCACTGTATGAATGAGTTTAGCCGTGGAAAGAATGGGAAGGATCTGGGCACGAGCTGTTTGATCCGTCACATGTGGAGGGCCCACCGTGCCATCGTCCTGCAGGAAAACGGGGGTGGCACAGGCATACCACCGCTGTATTCCACACCTCCCACTCTGCTGCCACCTCTGCTGCCTTTGGACGGCGACTTCACTGCTGGCCCGCCGTCTCCAGGGAAGATGATCAGAGAGCCCACCTCAGCGTCTTCCTCTCCTGACAGGCTGCCCGAAGATGTCCAGGCTCATTTTAACCCTGGAGATGCGTTCATGGAGGACGTGTCGGCTCTGTCGTCTTCGGAGGACGTTGGTGACGCTTCTGTAGGGTCTTCTCCTGAGAAGCAGGGTGACGGCCCACGCCTTCGGGAGTTTGAATCTGGCACTGTGTTTCAGCAGAACAAGAAGGTCATGAAGAGGCTGAAGTCAGAAGTCTGGCATCATTTCTCCCTGGCCCCCACGGACAGTCTGAAGGCCGTGTGTAGGTACTGCGGCTGTGTCATTAGCCGAGGGAAGAAGGGGGATGTGGGTACCAGCTGTCTGATGCGGCATCTCTACCGACGCCACCCTGAAGTTGTTGGGAGCCAGAGGGGCTTCCTTGGGGCCAGTCTGGCAAATTCTCCATACGCCACCCTGGCTTCTGCAGAGAGCTCATCCTGCAGGCCAGCTGATGTCCCGACAGCAGCTGTGAAAGATAACCGGGTCCCCTTTCCTGTTAACAGCAAAAAGACCTCAAAACTGTGGAACCATTTTTCAGTCTGTTCGGCAGACTCCACGAAAGTCGTGTGTTTGCACTGTGGACGGACGATAAGCAGGGGAAAGAAGCCAACAAACCTCGGAACCAGCTGCCTTCTGAGACATCTACAGAGGTTTCACAGCAGTGTGCTGAAAACCAACACCTCGGAGACGCCCTTGTCCTCCTCCCCGGGGGGGCGCATGCAGCTGAGTGCAGGGTTCCTGGGCACCTCGTCCTTCGATGACACCAATGAAAAGTTCTGTGATTCTCACCCAGTTGCCAAAAAAATAACAAGTCTGATAGCTGAAATGATTGCACTTGACCTTCAGCCATATTCTTTTGTGGACAATGTGGGCTTTAACAGGCTGCTTGAATACTTGAAACCTCAGTACTCCTCACCCACCCCGTCTTATTTCTCCAGGACAGCTATTCCAGGGATGTATGAGAATGTGAAGCAGGTCATTCTGTCACATCTCAAGGAGGCTGAGAGTGGCGTGGTCCACTTCACGTCTGGGATATGGATGAGCAACCAGACGCGTGAGTACCTGACACTGACGGCTCACTGGGTCACGTTTGCGTCGTCGGTGCGACCCCGCTGTGAAGACCACCACTGCTCAGCGCTCCTGGATGTGTCACAGATCGACTGTGACTATGGGGGCAACAGCATTCAGAAGCAGCTGGAATGTTGGTGGGAAGCCTGGGTGACATCCATTGGCCTTCAGGTTGGCATCACAGTGACTGACAACCCCAGCATCGGGAAGACCCTGAGTGAAGGGGCGCACCCGAGCGTGCAGTGCTTCAGCCATACAGTGAACCTCATTGTGAACGAGGCCATCAAGAGCCAGAGGATGGTTCAGAATTTACTGAGCATCGCTCGGAAGATATGTGAGCGGGTGCACCGGTCACCCAAGGCGAGGGAGAAGCTGGTAGAGCTGCAGAGAGAGTACGCGCTGCCCCCGCACCATCTCATTCAAGACGTCCCGTCCAAATGGAACACGTCTTTCCATATGCTTGAAAGGCTCATTGAGCAGAAGAGGGCCGTTAACGAGGTGGCCATCGAGTGCAACTTCCGAGAGCTGATCAGCTGCGACCAGTGGGAAGTCATGCAGTCTGTGTGCCACGCACTCAGGCCCTTCGACGCCGCGAGTCGGGAGATGAGCACGCATGTGTCTGCTCTCAGCCAGGTGATCCCCATGATTCACATCCTCAACAGGAAGGTGGAGATGCTGTTTGAGGAGACGATGGGCATTGACACCATGCTGAAGTCGCTGAAGGAAGCCATGGTGAGTCGCCTGTCCTCCACCCTCCATGATCCGAGGTACATTTTTGCAACGCTTTTGGACCCTCGGTACAAAGCCTCCTTATTCACGGAGGAGGAGACCGAGCAGTACAAGCAGGACCTAGTCAGGGAGCTGGAGATACTGAATTCTACCTCAGATGACAGACCTGTTTCCAATGGGTGCGACACAGGGTCACCACCTAAAGATGCTAGTGGAGAGGAGAGCCTGTGGTCGCTCATGGCCAAAATGAGAAGACCCGACCTGAGAGAGAAGACCAAGCTACCTGAGGACATGGTGCTTGCCTACCTGGAGGAGGAGGTGCTGGAGCCCAACTGTGACCCGCTGACCTACTGGAGCCTGAAGAAAGCATCCTGGCCAGCCCTGTCGGCTCTGGCTGTCAGGTTCCTGGGCTGCCCCCCCAGCATCGTGCCCTCGGAAAAGCTGTTCAGCACGCCCACTGAAAACAGTAGCTTTAGCCAGCCCAGGCTCATGATGGAACATTTTGAAAAGCTGATCTTTTTGAAGGTGAATCTTCCCTTGATATACTTTCAGTATTGAAGCTCTGGATGGAGCCACCAGGTTGGAAAGCGTAGCAGCTTATTCAGGTTGGCTGTGTCTGCCGCCGGCTGCCGACATGCGTCGATCGACCGTGCACGACATTGGGTCAGGCGATCGCGGGTCCCGCTTTCCGTGTCCTGTCTCCAGGTGCCTTACTCCTCGTTCTTCAGGCCAGATGCTGTAGATACGATTTTTAAAAGCATCACTAGAACTAGCTTGTCTTGGCCGTGATGATTGGGTTTGAATTCATAACTGCATTTTTTTTTTTTTTTTCTTTTTTTTAAAGTTGGGGGTTAGTAAGTTGTTTTAATATAATGGCAGAAAAGATGTAAACAGTTCTGTTCTGTAGGCTTTTTATTCAATTATGTAAAACCACAAATCAGGTACTGTACTTAGCATTGCTGTACTTGCAGCCAGCTGGGGCTGTCAGGTGGGATCTGTATAGAAGAGGTGGAGTCAAGCCATCCTTTCAGAGCCGTTCCTAACTGCAAGCCATCCAGTACTCAGAGGGCTGCCATGACCCTCATGGAAGGTAACTTTACTACGACAGACACATAGTGTTTGAAAATGAAACTCAGTTGAGACGTGTTCTGGAATTTTTGTTCCATGGTAACCAGGCCAAGGAAACCTCTTATGTGTGTTTGTGTTCAGGGTCTCCATCCTCCAGGAGTGCAGCTGTCCCCGCCTTTTGTAATGAATTCCTTTGAAATGGTATCGAGGCTTGCGAGCTGCCATGTACTATTCAGCCTGTGCGTGAGATGACAGGTTTACTGCAGCGGTTCAGGTTTCCACTTCTCCAAGCCTCTGTCTGTGCTGCGATGCTGTCCTTCTGACAGCTGTGCACTGATTCCCCGTTTGATCCAATGATGTATAAAGTTCTTTTTAGAGGAGAAGCCCTACTCACAGGGGAGATGTCAGATCACAGTTGTGAGACTCGCCCTTGGTGTTGAGCTCTCCGTTTTTAACAGGGAGGACCGGCCATCCCTGGGTGTATTAGGATCCCAAGGATGTCAGAATGAAGTGCTGGTCGTCAGATTCTTTTAACAGCTTGTCTTCAGTGTTTTTGCTTTCACATCTAGAAAAGGTTCATTTTCTCATTTCAGACCAATGAAATATTTTGAGGGAACAAGCCCCTCACTTGCCTACGGGCTCCTAGAAAAGCAATTGTTTTGATAAAATCTGGCCCTAGGCTTCCTGACTATGTTTTCGTGTATTTATAAATGGTGAACTCCGTTTCTGAAATTAAACTTTTTATTTGCAATTTCCTAGTGCTGGTGGACACTGGCTTTTTATTTTGGGGGACCGACACATGAAAACTATACTCCTGCACCATTGTGACTGGCACCTTATACTCAGAATGAAATGGCAGGGAGCTGGAGGTGTGGCCACCACGGTGACACCTCTGATGTGTTGACAGTGAGTGGTGGTGCAGCAGGGTGTGAGAATGGAAGAGCCCGGTGGGCCCTGGGGACGCATTCCCGGGCAGCCCCCCACACCATCGGAGTGGGCAGCTTACAGCAGCCGAGTCTTACGGCTCTGGAGGCCAGAAGTCTGAAGACTCGAGTTGAGAATCCGCTCTGTCCTTTGGCTTCGGACGGTTCCCGCCAGTGTTGGGTGTCCTGGGCTCCGGGCTCAGCTGCTGTCTCCTTACAGTCTTCCCCTCAGTGTGGCCCTGTGTCTTTTCCTCCTCTGTCCCTGACAAGGACGCTTGTCATTAGTTTTAGGGCCACGAGCTATGAGGGGCCCCTCGTGGCCCAGCTTCTCCCCATGACGTGATGACTTGCCGGTCTCGAGACCCACCGCCCAGTGTTCTCTCAGTTTGGTACTTTTATGGCCCTGCTTCACACCAGACGGAGGCCCAGCCCACCCCTTCATGGTCCCTGAGTGCTAGCTGTGGGCGTGGGAAAGGGGATGGAGCTCCATGGTCCCCAAGCTCTGCCTCACCGTGGACTCTGGCCAGACTGCTCTTGATCTCGAAGGGGCTGTGGACAGAACAGGAGTAAGTGACGATTCTTGCTTGCCGTGTCCACGAGCAGCTTGCGTCCCTGCCTCTCTTGAGTTATGTTGTGAATGGTGAAGCTTGTATTTGGCAACATTGAGCTTCCTGAGCTTTCCCTCTGAAACAGGTCAGCATTAACTGGCAGAACTGTGTCCAGCCATCCTGTTCCACAGGGAGCCTCTGACCTCCAGGGACTGAACGGGCCCTGGGGGCATGGCAGTAAGGAGATGCGGCCCCTGCTCTCGCCGACCCCATGGTCTAGGCAGGCCTCATTAGAGACGCAGGCATGCTACAGCTGCAGGCCAGGTCCAGCCCTTTGTCTGCTGTTGGCTTTTTCATTTTCATTGTGACTTGGGCACCTGCCCGGGCTTTGGAGGCCGTTTCCTTGGATCATGGCGTGGTCACAGTCTGGCAGCTGCTGATCTACAGTGTGGAGGTGGGGAGTCGTGACATAGACATGTGACCCACAGGGCTGATCATCTTCACTGCCTGGCCCTTTACAGAAGGAGGCTGGTGGCCTGTAGGCCTTCTGTTCAGTTTATTACAGGCTCGGCTCCACTCTGCTCTCTCCTGGTGGACGCGGTCTCGGGAACAGGGTGGAAGAGGGGACTGCACGGTGGGGGCGTGGCTTTGTTTCAGTCAGCATGGAGCTTGGCCTCTCTTACTGCACAGCGGAGTCTCAGTCTTCTGGCTGATAGATGTTTCCTCAAACCAGGGGCTAAATAGTCTCAGTATATCTTAGTCCTCAAGTTGCTGATGGTCCTGTCGGGAGAAAGGCAAGAGTTCTGACGTTCATAGTGCACCGGGAGACTGATTTTGATCTACATAAACAGGTGCCAAGTTGACAAAGGGTGGAATTGTGGTTAAGGTTGTGTGTCAACTTGGCTGGGCATGGTTGAGTAGCTGGGCAGCTGGTGGTAGTTATTCCCCATGATGAGACTGGCAATCAACTCCATGGTGGGACCTACCACAAGCAGCTGAGTAGCTGCTTTGGGTATGTGGTCTGCTTGCCGTAGATAAGAAACAGCTTTGGGAATGTTCTCTAGCTTATGGCACACTTGGACCCTGTATGTAGCCGTGTCGTTGTTCAGCAACCTGCCATGCTCTACCGACCTTGGGACTTAAAAAGGACTTGAGTTAATGGCCTGCCTTTTGGTTTGGTAACATCGGGGCTGTGCCATTTTATTTGTTGACCTTGGGCTTGTTAGCCTCAGCAGCCAGTAGTAGCTGCCTGAGGAAAGAGATGCCTCTAGCTTCAATGGGCCAGGAGCAAGAGGCAGAGCTGAAGCCCAAGGTTGAGGGGCCTTCACACAGCCCCTAGAGCCTGGCACTTGGAACTCAGACTTCTAGCCTCCTGAACTGTAAGAGAATAAACTCCTGTTTGTGAAGGCCATCCCATTTGTGGTATTTTCCTGTCAGAGCAGTGTGAGGTAACCAGAACAGCATATGATCAAGAATCAGTGGTATTAAATTTGAAGCTGCACTGAAGGAATTGGCAAGAAACGAGGCTCCGGGAATTGACAGATACCCATTGAGATGTTTCAATAAACGGATGCCATGCTGGAGCCACTCATCCAGCTGTGCCAAGAGATTTGGTAGACAGCTCCCTGGCCAGCTGACTGGAAAAGATCCGTATTTGTACCCGTTCCAAAGACAGGTGATTCCACAAATTGTGGAAATTATCGAACAATATCACTGATATCATATGCAAGTAAAATCTTACTGAAGATAATTCAAAAACGGTTGCAGCGGTACATTGACAGACAACTTCCAGAGGTGCCAGCTGGATTCAGAAGGGGACGTGAAGTGAGGGGTGTCATAGCTGATGGCAGATGGATCCTGGTTCAAAGCGAAGAATACCAGAAAGATGTTTACTTATGTTTTATTGACTGTGCAAAGGCATTCAATTGTGTGGATCATAACAAATTGTGGATAACATTGAGAAGAATGAGAATTCCAGAAGACTTACTTGTACTCAGGAGGAACCTGTACACAAACCAGGAGGCTTTTGTTCAAACAGAACAAGGGGATACTGCATGGTTTAAAATCAGGAAGGCAGTGTGTCAGGGTTGTATCTTTTCACCATACTTATTCAATCTGTATGCTGAGCAAATAATCTGAGAAGCTGGAC